ATCTGCAGTGTGTGTAGTTTTACAGTAATAATTGTGGAGCGATTTTAATCCAGTATGAATCTGCAGTGTGTGTAGTTTTACAGTAATAATTGTGGAGTGATTTTAATCCAGTATGAATCTGCAGTGTGTGTAGTTTTACAGTAATAATTGTGGAGCAATTTTAATCCAGTATGAATCTGCAGTGTGTGTAGTTTTACAGTCTGACAGTAACAATTGTGGAGTGATTTTAATCCAGTATGAATCTGCAGTGTGTGTAGTTTTACAGTCTGACAGTAATAATTGTGGAGTGATTTTAATCCAGTATGAATCTGCAGTGTGTGTAGTTTTACAGTCTGACTGTAATAATTGTGGAGCGATTTTAATCCAGTATGAATCTGCAGTGTGTGTAGTTTTACAGTAATAATTGTGGAGTGATTTTAATCCAGTATGAATCTGCAGTGTGTGTAGTTTTACAGTAATAATTGTGGAGTGATTTTAATCCAGTATGAATCTGCAGTGTGTGTAGTTTTACAGTAATAATTGTGGAGCGATTTTAATCCAGTATGAATCTGCAGTGTGTGTAGTTTTACAGTAATAATTGTGGAGTGATTTTAATCCAGTATGAATCTGCAGTGTGTGTAGTTTTACAGTCTGACAGTAATAATTGTGGAGTGATTTTAATCCAGTATGAATCTGCAGTGTGTGTAGTTTTACAGTCTGACAGTAATAATTGTGGAGTGATTTTAATCCAGTATGAATCTGCAGTGTGTGTAGTTTTACAGTAATAATTGTGGAGCGATTTTAATCCAGTATGAATCTGCAGTGTGTGTAGTTTTACAGTAATAATTGTGGAGTGATTTTAATCCAGTATGAATCTGCAGTGTGTGTAGTCATCATCCTGAACCCATTAACTTATCAAATCCCATACTTTACACCATACTTTATATGAACAGCCTCCTCCCGGAAATCAAAGAAATACATACTGTATTTGAGGACTTCAGTCACAGTGGTGGTGTAAAGCTGGAAGCTGCTTGCTTCGTTCACTGACATCACAGCAACCATGAAGCCTACAACACAGTCCAGCAGAACATCAGTCACAGGTCAGAACTGGAGCTTCATCAAAGATTGACAGACTGTAAAAATGCCTGGATCAGTGGTTGGTTAGAGATTTGCAGGTCAGTCCTATAATTCTCAAGATGAGTTCAGTCAAACAGCCTCAGAAGGACTTACTTAGCCTGTTTGTTCTGTTCATGTTTACTCGTTTAATTCTAGTTTTCAGGAGAGAGGATGAGTCACTTTCAGCAGATTTTGGATCAGAAAGTCCTGTAAACGGTATTTTTAATTGTGAAGTCCTTTTAATCTCATGGTGTATTTGCTTGCGTACAATAGTGTTCCTCAGTTCCTCAGTTCCTCAGTTTCCCTCAGAGGAACAGCAGGTTTACTGTCCTGGTAGGTGTCGACTGTAATACGTACCGTAATCCATTACAGGGCTGTAGCAGGCGTGTCTGAAGCGATCCTTCTTTGTGATCAGGGACTCAAACGTTTTCTTCTCTTTAAAACAGCCCCCTGTAAACACACAGCTCATCAGACTCGGCCGCGATTACCGGACCTCCACTGCAGTTACTCACTACAGGAACACAGACCGCTGTTCACATACGCTGATCAGGGGAGCGAAGGAGGTGAAGACGGAGGACATTATCCCCGAGAAGCAGGATTAACTACTTACTAGTTACTACTACAGGAACAACTACACGGAATTATTCAGTACATAAATGGAATAATTCAATAATTATCAATAATAATAATAATAATAATAATAATAATAATAATAAGTCCAACTTAGATAGTGCCTTTCTCAAACCCAAGATCACTTAAATTTTAGAATTTTCAGAAACTACACAAAATTATTTAGGCACTACTATGAATTTTTCAGTAGCTACTATGAGTTATTCAGTATGTACTATCAGTTTTTTCAGTATGTACTGTGAATGAATAAGTATCCACTATGAATTATTTAGTTTTTTAAGCTATAATCTAATATGAATTATTGCATACTATGAATTATTCAGTGTTAAATCTGAATTATTCAGTATCTAATCTGAACTGATCAGAGATGTATCAGAGATGTGTAAATCTGTTGTCCTGTATGATGAAAGAGAAGATTAAGTCCGTACTCTCAGCGCACTGACACACGTCTTCAGAGCAGAGGACAGACACCAGCTTGCTCCTCCTGGGGGCGGCGTAGAACACAGAGCACCGTCTGTCTGTGAGTCAGAAAGAGAGACAGCGTAAACACCTCAGTCACACAACTGGACCAGACACACAACAGGACTAGACACACAACAGGGCTAGACACACAACAGGGCCAGACACACAACAGGACCAGGCACACAACAGGACTAGACACACAACAGGGCTAGACTCACAACAGGACTAAACACACAACAGGACCAGACACACAACAGGACTAGACACACAACAGGGCTAGACTCACAACAGGACCAGACACACAACAGGACTAGACACACAACAGGGCCAGACTCACAACAGGGCCAGACACACAACAGGACCAGACACACAACAGGACCAGACACACAACAGGACCAGACACACAACAGGGCTAGACACACAACAGGACCAGACACACAACAGGACCAGACACACAACAGGACCAGACACACAACAGGACTAGACACACAACAGGACCAGACACACAACAGGGCTAGACACACAACAGGACCAGACACACAACAGGACCAGACACACAACAGGACCAGACACACAACAGGACCAGACACACAACAGGACCAGACACACAACAGGGACTAGTAATTTTTAGATCATCACATGAGAAATTACTAAAGACCTCCTTTTTCTTAGTTTATTATTATTATTTCTTTTTTCCTCTTTACAGTCTGTGTTGGTTTATTGTCTATTCTTTTTTAGTCACACTTTGTGGTCGTGTGTTTTCAAGCTGTTTATTCGTTACTGAAGTTTTTTGTTATTGTCTTTCCTATTAACCTCAAACGTGTAATAAAATGTTAGTAACATGGTAAGTGAATGAAAGGTTTGCTTCATTGTTAGATATAAATGCTGGGATGTCCCGCAGATCTAGATACATTCTTGTGACATTAAACGGAACGTAAAATAAAAGTCTCACCTGGTTCGTAGTAGTCGTAGAACGTAGCGGGGGCAGGCTGCACTAACCCTATCGGCACTTTCTGCACGGCTTCAAACATCACACATATATCACCTTCAACTATCTGCACACAGGTCATTAAAGAACAGAGTGAACCTACAGAACCAACAACGTCTGACTGTGTAAAGACTGTTTTGGGTTCCTGAGGTCAAGATTGGGGTTAGGTTTGAGATTATACTCTCAAAAAGATGGTTCTTCTAGGGTTCTTTAGTAAAAACAGTGGTTCCATGAACACTCAAAGGACCATTTGCTTTGCATGCTTGAATGGTTCTCTACATGGTGAAAACGTTCTTCAGATTGATGGATGTGTTGTATATGGTTTCATATAGCATATGTATATATATATATATATATATATATATATATGTATATATGCTTTTGCTTTGTGCCGTGGTGCACTATCATGCTAGACGTAGCCATTAGAAGATGGTAAATTATGGCCATAAAGGGATGAACATGGTCAGCAACAACACTCAAACAGGCTGTGGCATTTAAGTTCTGACTGATTAATATTAACAGCCCAAAGTGTGTTGAGAAAATTACATTACACCACCTCCACCAGCCTGGACTGCTGACACAAGGCAGGTTGGCTCCATGGATTCACGCTGCTGTTGACCAATTCTGACCCTCCTATCTGTGAGCCTCAGCAGAAATCGAGCTTCATCAGACCAGGCTATGTCTTTCCAGTCTTCAGCTGTCCAGTTGTGGTGAGCCTGTGTCCACTGCAGCCTCTGCTTTCAGTTCTTGGCTGACAGAAGTGGAACGTGATGTGGTCTTCTGTTGTTGTGGCCCATCCATCTCAAGGTTGGACGTGCTGTGCATTCTGAGATGCTTTTCTTCTCAGCACAATTACACAGAGTGATTATTTCAGTTACTGTAGCCTTTCTGTCAGCAGGAAGCGGACTGTCCATTCTCCACTGACCTCTCTCATCAATAAGGCACTTCCATCCACAGAACTCCTGCTCTCTGGATGTTTTTTCTTTATTGCTCCATTCTGAGTAACTCTAGAGACGCTGTGTGTGAAAATCTCCCAGAAACTCCCATACGAGCCCGTCTGGCACTAATATATATATATATATATATATATATATATATATATATATATATATATATATATATATATATATATATAGGGCGGCACGGTGGCGCAGTGGGTAGCGCTGTCGTCTCACAGCAAGAAGGGCCTGGGTCCGATTCCCGGCCGGGCGACCAGGGTCATTTCTGTGTGGAGTTTGCCTGTTCTCCCCGTGTCTGCGTGGGTTTCCTCCGGGTACTCCGGTTTCCTCCCACAGTCCAAAAACATGCAGTCAGGCTGATTGGACATGCTGAATTGCCCCTAGGTGTGAGTGAGTGTGTGAATGTGTATGTCTGCCCTGCGATGGACTTGCGACCTGTCCAGGGTGTATCCTGCCTTCCGCCCAATGACAGCTGGGATAGGCTCCAGCACCCCACCGTGACCCAGAAGGATAAGCGGTTTAGATGATGTATATATATATATATATATATATATAATAATAAAAGATTATAATAATTTCCTTTCCAAGTTAACAATACTTTTCCTTGCCCTATAAAGTTACTATTTTGGAGATTTTGGATATACGTTTTGTCAGGGCAGCAATAGATACTTATATATGTATAATTCAAATGGAACACATTATAAATAAAATAAAAAAGGATAAATGGGACATATTATTATTGCATATAGATACTCATATGTACATGTGTGTGTATAATATGTATGTATATGTATAAATATGTCTGTGTCTGCTGGCTTTTTTAACTTACCTCATTGAAATATAACAGGACTCGCCCCTGGGAGACTTCATAGTGAGAGATATATTTGTCAGCTAGATCCTTCAGCTGTTAAACAAGGAGACTCTGTTTTGATATTGATTGTATGACCAATGATAAACTGCTGATCAACAAACAGCTAATGACAGACAGAAAAAAGCATGCACGTGTTATGAATGTGTACATAATATGGTATATTACATCAACACAAAACTGGTAAAAGTAAGTGAACCTAAGGACAAAGATGTGTTGAGGTAACATTTTATGGATCAAGTAAAATCTGTGCACAACTTTTCCAGTGTAGACAGACAGCGTTTTAGGATAAACAGAGAAAATACAGCAAATTTATGATGACTATTTTAGTGATGATGATGATGATAGTGATTAACACTTCTGTGGCTGCATAAGTGTTGAAAAGTGGTTGATATGTTATCCCAGGTGGTTGCTAGGATGTTGCTATGTGGTTTCTGTGTTATCCCAGGTGGTTGCTAGGGTGTTGCTATGGTTCCCCACATGGTTAATAAGGTGTTACTAATAGACTTGTATCAACATGACATAAGTTGGATGCACAAACTTTTGCACACCATTCATTCCTACTGGACAAAAAGTGTGTCATTTAATGATGACTGTACGAAAACTGTGCCTCCGATCACAACACTGTATGCAAGCACACCATTCCCGATCAGACTGAACATTTCCGGAGATGAAACAGTGTCAATTTGTCGGAAAACATGGGTGTGGCCTTATTTTTCCATTTAAATGCTACTGAAAAAACAAACTTTTATAAGTCACACTTTTTTAACTATTGATGGGAGGTGCTTGAATTTTTCAGTAGTCATTCTTGGGTTTAAATTGTGTTTAACTACATTTTATATTGCACATTTTCTACTATATGACTTGCTAAATATCTAGAAAAAATTAATCACTAAACCGTTACAATGGAAAAAGCCCATATGTCAAATGTATATGACTCGTGTCATATTCATCAAATAATTTTTTCATTGAAAATGGTGTATACACCAAACATTAAGTTGGTATCTTAAGCCAAACTATAATTAATAAAAATGTCAAATATGTTTACAAAAGCTGACTTCTGTTTCAGCATAAACAAAAGAATAATCCCTGAAAATTGAACTAATCTAGCATTAGTAATTCAAAAGGCCACACCCACTTCTAAAGGCCTCTATATCTCATAAATTAATAAAGATACGGGAGATCTGACTCGGTCAGTCAGAAGCATTGTCTCATATCTACCAATTTACCTATTTACCTGTTAAATATTACAACAATATTAATATATGGTTTATAGATATGAATATTGATCTTCCATTGAAATGTGTGTTGTGTCACAGGTGCTAGAACTGACCTTGTCCAGATCGTCGGTGTTTGGCTCAAAGCCGCTGAGCAGGGTGATGTCTGCTATAGCCATGCCTGAAAGGTTCTGCCTCAGAGAGTGACTGCGTGAGAGGAAACATCATCATCCTTCATATTCCGTACATACAAAACAGCTACGGCCACAGCACTGTGCAAACGTCTGTGCAGCCAAAACACTGGAAACATGTTTATCTGGGCAGTAAATGTGTTTCTACAACATCAGAATAAATACAAATTAACATGAACTCAGTAAACGCTGTCAGCGCTTCTCATTTTAAGTAAAGTTATTGATATCTTAGTTAAAAGAACACAGATTTGATTCACCTGTCACATGGATTTGTTCAATTCCACCAGCTTTTTTCCTGATTTAACTTAATGAAGGATTGATTAAACTGAGTCAATTCAACAAAGCACTGACTAAACTGATTTAATTCTATGAAGCGTTGATTAAAATGATTTAACTTGATGAAGAATTGATTAAAATGATATAACTTCATGAATGATTGATTAAGTTGCTTTTTAATTTAATGAGGAATTGATTAAACTGACTTAATGAAGGATTGATCACAATGAATAAACTTAATTTAGGCTTGATAAAACTGATTTAACTTAATAAAAGATCGATTAAACTGATTTAACTTAATGAAGGGTTGATTAAGTTGCCTTTAATTTAATGAGGAATTGATTAAACTGATTTAAAATGATTTAACTTAAGAAAGGATTGATTCATTGCTTTTTATTTCAATAAAGACTTGATTAACTTAATGCAGGATTAATTAAACTGATTCAAACTAATGAAAGACCAACTAAACAGATTTAACATGATTCAGGATTGATTTAACTGATTTAATTCAATGAAGCTTTGACTAAACGGAAGGAATGATTTAAAGGTACCATGGAATACTGTATTTATGTTGGCATAGTTAAATAAGGAGAGTTTATTAAATGGAACTGACACACTGTGGACCTCAGATGCTGCTGTCTCCTCCTTCAAACACAAATCATTTTCCAAAAGCAGAGGTAAAACAGGCCAATTGCAAAATCCTAAACTGTTATGAATCTTGACTTATTAAAATTTACATCCCCAATATTTACCTATGCTAGCTCATGTTTCAGCCAACGAAACAAAAACAACAGAGCAGCAATGAAAATGTCAGACTGTGTGCAGAAATGAGGCTCCAGGCTGTGAAGGAACGTCGGCACTTTTCATTCCCTTCACAAGAACCGAACCGTCAGTGGCTGATGATCATCTTTAATCCAGGCTGAAGGGAATTCCTGTTCACAGCTTCTTCATCGAAAGTTCCACTTTAAATGCTACGGCTTCTACAGGAGCCAGAACATAACTACAGCACCATTTAAGGTGGAACTGAAAATTCTCAAACCAAGCTGGCGAACAGGAACTTCAGCTCTCACATCTCTAACAGGATCCCGGCAGCTTTAACTCAGAGCTGTTAGCTTCTCATTTCACTCTGGACAGTTTCTCAAAGCTCGGACAACATCGAGCAGCTCCGCTCAGCGTTTGACCCTGAAGAGACGCAGCTCCACCTTTATTACATCACAACCCCTACAGCAGCCTGTAAGCAGCCCTGCTGAGAGACTTTATCACTGTCTGATGAAGCTGATCATCTTAAACTGAGAGCTTCATAGTGAAGGAACTAGCATAGCTAACTAAACAGTATGAGGACCAGCTTATTTACACAGAGAGTCATTTTATTTTTATCTCAACATGTCAAGCCATTGCAGTGCCTCACTGTGAACCAGCCAATCAGGGCAGAGCTCATCAGATTATTCATGAGCCCCCCCAAAAAGGGAGAACAGCTCGTTTTATTCTGGGGCCAAATCATAAGTCTGTAAATGAGTGTGTGAAACCACATCTAGGCAGTTTTCACACTGAACAAAACCACGACCTTCTGTAGACACATCAGAGAACAATCAAACATAAAATACTGAATAAACACATTCAGGGGCACCTTTGACTCAATTAACTGATCAGTATATCTTGGATCGGATGGTAACCGTAAATCACTGTGACTGTAAAGCACATAATTACATTTACAGCATTGATTTGTTAGATTTAATGTTGGTGTATTGTTAAAGCAGATAAACACTCACTGTCCAGATTAACAGCTTTAATTTTCTCAAGCAGTTTCACAATCATGTACAGAACATCCTGTTCTTGCTGTGGAAGTGAGTGACCGGGTTTACTGACCTCACACACACTTTGTACAGCAGTGTGTCCTCAGATCTTTGCTGTGTGTCTCGCCTGCGTCTGCTGCGCACATCAAACCACTCGATGGCTGAGCGTGGGAAATCTTCCTCCTCCTCCCGCTCGCTCGGCTCGTCTTTCCCATAATCATAGTAATCGTAGGTCTCTGTTATGTGTGCTGGATTAAACAACACGCACTCATTAATGACCGTCCAGCTGACAGCATTCTGAACATACTGTGGAAATGGACGGTTACAGCGTTGTTCAGTCTGCATACACAGTACTGTGCAGATGTTTGGGTCAAATTCCACGTCTGTGTTGATTTTCTAGGTGTAAATATTAGGGATGCATTGATACAGATGTGGGTTTCAGGTATCGGGCCAATACCATGCTCATTTACTCATACTCATAAAAAGAACCATGAACACTTAAAGAACCCTGTGCATGATTAAAGGGTTCTTTGCATCATAAAATGGCTCTTCAGATTGATAGAGAATGTGCTAAAGATGGTTCTATACAGAACCTTTTTGAAAAGGATCCTATAGAGCACCCAAAACAGTTCTTCTTTTGTTATGATGTCAAGCTTGTAACAACAGACGAACCCTTTTTAGGTGCCCTTTCCAAAAAGGTTCTATATAGAACACATTCAAGCACATTTTCCATCAATCTAAAGAACCATTTCATGAGGCAAAGAACCCTTTAATCATGTAGGTTTCTTTGAGTGTTCATGGTTCTTCCTAGAACCATTTCCTTTACTAAAGAACCCTTGAAGAATCATCTTTTTTAAGAGTGTTGGTGTCACTAAGACAATAAGAGTCAAGCATTTGTTTATTTCCCTCACCTGTGTACTCGACTTTGCCCGTCACTGTGACGTTGATTGACAGGTTCTCACAGTTGGTGAACGGGTCGAGGTCATAGTAAGCCTTCACCACCTACCGGTCAGAAACCAGGTCATTCAAATGGGTTCAAATGCGACAGATTGGGTTCTCAGATTGCATAAACATCTGTTACATAAAACTGAGTTATTACCTTGATTTTTGCTTCTCCTTGCCCTGAAAATTTCGCAGTTATGCCGCCTCCCACCAGCCTCTGCAAAAATAGAGTCAAGTGAAACAAATGAGGCAACAAACATCTAATGACACGTCCAAGGGGAAGTCCACCAATCAAAATTCCAGCATAAATAAATGGTTAAGGTGTAAACAGAGCAGTTCAGGGTGGTTCAGAGTGGTTTGGTGTGAAACACTCTGTTCTAGATAAACTTACCGAGTCAGAACTGTTCACAGTGGTGGTGATAGGAACCAGACGTCCACCTCTAAAAGCTCCCTCACAGAAAGTTCCTACATGAAATGGTTATGAATTCACTGCCTGATGACTGAGACACTGTTTTATGATTTGGTTTTGGCGGTTTAATGTATAAAATCCAGTTTTTAAGAATAAAATATGTCACTAATGACGTATAGAACTCTTGCGGGTCTAGATCAGAGTCTCGGTGCTGCTGGATGTTCTCCCAGAATAAGTGTGAGAGCACTTTCTTCATCTTTCTTACAAAAATTTGACTGCAGAAATGTGGAGCTTATTTTGTATACAAGCATTTTCAAAACATCATTTAACATAAAATATTACAAACTCTTTTAAAGTGTCAACATTTTTCAAAAGTCTATGCTCTGGATGTCAATGTGTCCTCATTTCCCAGAGCTACATTTAATTTCCATATGAGGAAATGACAATATTTTACCGTTATCTTGATCAATGTGTTTTTCTGATCATATCATGTATATCGTCAGTACCTAAAGATCACTGACTGACTGATCTGCTACAATCATTTTCCTCACTTTTCTTCATTGAATAACATTCATCTTCATATATATTAGATATAATAATTACTACTAAGCTATAGAGGCTCAGTATTTAAGGAGAATTCCACCCATTTCTCAAAATTTCAGCATATTTCAGTGGTTAAGATGTAAATTACAGGTTTCATTACAAAGTGAGCATAATTAGTCCTGTTTAACTGGATTTAGTGCAGCGCAGTTTGCAAAACACTGAATAAAATCACTATAATTGTAGGGTTATTATTGTTATTATTGTTGTTTTTATTTTTATTATTATTATAGTGTTTTTATATGTGGCACTACAGGTTCTGTTTTGCCTAAAAATGTCTACAGTTTTATTACAAACTTGCAATTTCTGAGAGAACCTGCTGCAGAATCATGTGCCAGGACTGCATTACAGCTATGAACACGTCTAGGTTCACTGGTGGTTCTGGATAGTAAATAAAATGTCTATATCTGTGTTGTAGTCGTGGCGACCCCTGGTTCCTATCACCACCACTGTAAAGACATCTGAACCATTTCACACCAAACCACTCTGAATCTCTCTGTTTACACCTCACACACTGAATTATGGGGAGATTTTTGATAATTGGTGAAATTTCGCTTTTCAAAAGTGCACAAATTTACATACCTGAGGTGAATAAAAAGCTGTTTATCTGAGCAGTAAGTGTTTATTTGTTTAGGTTATCATCCAATACCTGCTTTATCTAATCAATACTTCACTATGTCAAATCAAGTGATGTAATTTAATAAATCCATGCGTTGGCTGCTGGCATTCAGGAGAAATCTGGAACCAAACTTTATTCTTCAAACTAGCCCAAAAGATATGAACTACTATTTACAATCAGAAATTCTTGTAACTTTTTATTGTATTTATTTTTATTTGTATTTATTTTAATGTTATGATGTGTTTTTACTGCTATTACTGCTCATTTCTATTGATTTCCCTTTCACAAACCCAGTGATGTTTTACATCCAGAAAAAGTGACCCCACTGCTTTTCAGCCTCTGAACATTTGTGGTTATATTGTCTACAACGCCATCTGGAGGACAGAAGCTGAATTAATGCTCCTGCAGGACTCACAAACACATCCCACACTGGCAGAGCAACCCGAACCCATACAGCAGTAAAACATCTGCTTCTGCAATGAAATACATTCCTAAATGGGTCATTCTTTGTGTCCAAGTTCATGATCTTTCTGAAAAATAATTTAATAAATACATGACATATCTAATTATTCAGCATTACCTCTTTTATGTGAAACTAATTTTTTAAGTGCATTCATATAAAATCCAACTCCAAAAGTCTAAAAATGTCAGGTGGTGAAACCAGTCAACCATACATGTTGATTAAGTAAACTATCAAAAAAGGTAATTTAGGTATAAAATTCTAAATAAAATAGTTTGGCCTGATTTTCTGTTTGAAAACTTAATGTTATGTTGAGGCAACTTTAAAAGTGCTCAACTTAATGAAAAACCTTTGTCCACAAGTTCTTACTTTTTCAATTGTCAGGCGGCACAACCAAAAACAAAGGACTTTTATTTTGACATGCTTTTATGACAGAGGGGCCAGGGTATTGCATCATAAACAAGACCCCATGTGACCTTCATGGTGCAATGCTGAGGTCACAGATTCAGTAAAAGTGTGATGCTTGAGTCGTGGTTAAGACGGTTCAGTTTACCATGTCAGGTGTTCTGACCTCAGGAGAACCATGAACATGTGGAATTATTATAATACTGTTTATTTATTCTGCGATGGACTGGCGACCTGTCCAGGGTGAATCCTGCCTTCCGCCCAATGACAGCTGGGATAGGCTCCAGCACCCCACCGTGACCCAGAAGGATAAGCGGTTTACATGATGGATGGGTGGATGTTTATTTATTTGAAAACATGTACAAACTCAAGTTGAAGGACAAAGGTTTCTACGGGTGTCTAAGTAATTCCTGTTTAATTTGAAATTAGTCTGAAAAGTCAGGCGGCGCAACCAGCCAGTCAGATGGAGCAACCAGACCAGCACAGTCTAATAACTGCTGGTCTGGTTGCTTTTAACTGCTAATAAATGCTTTTAAAAACTGTCATTTTGAAATGTTATTTGTCATTAACCCTCATATGTGTAAAGAAACTGTGTTAGATGGTTTCTACCTTTAACTCCGCCTCCACCTTCTCGCCCTTCTTGTCCAGCACCAGCTTCTCCATCTCTGACCGCCCTGAGCTGGTGAACTGCACGTTGATGACACTGAACGGAGATTCAGGTTTGTGAATGGCGTACTCCGACAGAGCCTCCAAGGCCATGATGGTGTCCTAGAACACACAGAACCCGGTGTACATCACTGCTGACATCAACTGTACATCTCCACTCTTAACATAAAGGTTCCAGAATGGGTTCCTTGGAGCAGTGCTACATAGGAACCACTGCTTGGTTTCATAAAGAACCTTTAAATGGATGGTTCTCTAAAAGGACAATTTCTATAAATTACATGAATCTAACGTAACTGTTCTATCAGTTTTAGCCAACTAGTTTTCTCCTAAAACATGTCTAAAGATTTGATTAGATTAATTATGTTAAATTAGACTGTTAGATTAGACGAGACTAGGTTAGATTAGATTAGGTTAGGTTAGAGTAGACTAAATTAGATCAGATTAGACTAGACTAGGTTAGATCAGATTAGATTAGCTCAGATCAGATTAGACTAAATTAGATCAGACTAGACTAGATTAGGTAGATTGAACAAGGTTAGGTTAGATTAGACTAAATTTGATTAGATTAGGTTAGATAGGACTAGGTAAGATTAGACTAGGTTAGCGTTGATTAGATTAATTATGTTAAATGAGACTGGTTAGATTAGATGAGACTAGGTAAAATTAGATTAGTTTACGTTAGATTAGACTAAATTAGGCCAGATTAGACTAGACTAGGTTAGATTAGATTAGATCAGATCAGATTAGACTAAATTAGATCAGATTAGACTAGATTAGGTAGATTGAACTAGGTTAGATTAGGTTAGATTAGACTCCAGCTCAGCATGACTCAGCAGCTGCACTAACAGCTAAACTGATCTGCTGACCGGTTCTGACCATGTTATCGTCGTGTTGTTACTAATTAAGACACGACTTACGGATTTGTGGTGCAACCAAATTTAGTAAAAGGACAGTTTGAAACTAGGCTTAGTAAAAACTTTACGCCCAGTGGTGCAACCCAGTCCTGGTCAGTAGAGGTCCATTAGAGGGCGCTTTCCCTGTTCCCCAGTAATGACCTTGTGGACCTTGACTGTCTGACCTGTGTGGATTTGAATCCTCCCTCGTAGTTCTCCTGTGAGGAGAGGAAACAGGCCGCAGCTCTAGCCTCCTCCGTGTCCTCGTGAGCCATTGCGGTGAGCAGAGCGTACGCCGTGGTTTCTACGGTCAGAGCCACAGCTGGAGGAACCAGATAATTCTTCCGCTCGCCCACCAGCCGCATGTCTTCATTCGCCCTCCACACCTTACACTCCCCCTCTGAGCACAGAGCCGCGAGAAGAGAATGACTCAATAACCATCCGTCCACAACAGGTTAAAACCATCAGAGTGGACAGAGGAGTGTGTTTTAGTGTGTATGTTTACCTCGCATTGCGAGACTCTGCAGTTTCCTCCAGGCTGACAAAGCCAGTGTCTTATCTGGAAGGCAGGTGGACAGGCAGTAGGCTGTAATGGCCACAGCGTAAGGTCTCTCCAGTTGATCCACGCGGGAGAGGAGGAATGCTGTAGCACGGGAGATGCTGCCCTTCTAAACATTACAGACAAAACACGTATTTAAATATTGACAGTAGGGCTGACCATGAGCACAAAACACCAGTGTTGTAGCTATATTGCAATATATACACCTTGCACAGAGGGATGGCCAGTGCCACCTAGCATGCACTGCAAACAATGATATCTTAGCAAGTGAAAACATCTTAATTGTACTTCATATATCATTATGAGATTGTTATATATATAATTTGGGGTCGTTTCTGTTAGTTGATTCTTCATGAAATTACACACAATATTTAGGACCACAGGTATTTTCAGATCATGTCAAAAACTGAAAAACGACAAAAATGGAGATACGAGGTTTTGTTCCGACAGCAGCGACATGTTAACTACATTTAAGATGTTTTCACTTGCTAATATTTCATTTTTTGCTGTGTGCAGTTTGGCCGCCCTTCTGGCCACTCCAGTCATGGAGAGTGAGACGGTCAGCCTTCATCAGCAAAGCATCACGCTTTGTGGTGAAATGTAATGATTAACGTATTTCGGAATCTTTTAAGTGAAATGATCTCAAATCTAGTTAATATATCTAATATTTCTCATTTTGAGATGCTGAGAGCTTATGAGAGTATTTCTCTCAGTTCTAGACATTTTCACTTGTTTTAAAGTGATTTTAGTAAGTCGAATTCTCACTATATTGGCAGATAATTTTGCTTATTGTATGAAATCTGCTTGAAACCAATACCTGCTAATATAACGGCATAACTTGACTTGGTAAAATTACTTGCACTGCAGTAAAACACATTAGTGAATCAATGTGAAAAGTTTGGCCTGTATCTTTACCACAGCATCAGTTTCCATGTCCAGGAAAGGTAGAGAGCGTTTGAGAGCGATGGTAACGAAAGCAGTGAGGGAGACTTCCTGCTCGAGTCCCCCAATACCACCCTAAAACACACACACACACACACACACACACACACACAAATAGCACTCAGGAGTGGAACAGCTGTACACCTGTTTACTGTACACCTGTACATCTGTATGCTTGTATACCTGTACACTTGTATATTTGTATATCTGTATATCTATATAATTGTATATCTGTACACCTATATATCTGTATACTTGTATACCAGTATCAAAATATAGCCTGTTACATCAGAGAGAGAAATGTAGATATGACATATTACAATTACTGTTACTATGTTGTTGTTATTACATTGTGATGTTTGTTATTTTGATTTTTTTATTTATTTATTTGATTATTTTATTTTTTAGTTCTTTATTCACACCTGACCTGATCTACTTGAATAGAATCTAATAGAATAAAATTGATTTATTGTGAAATCAACACTATACTGTAATGTGATCTGATCTTATCTGATCTGATCTGATCTATTTTGAAGCCAACATGGTCCTGTAGTCATCAGGTCATCAGAAGGACAATTCAGATAATATAATCTGAATTAATTTGACCTAATATAATCTAATCTAATCTAAACTGTTATGAAGCAACACCGTGCTGTAGTCTAATTTCATGAGAAGGAAACATCAGACAATTTCCTGACCTGCATTTCTCTGTGGATGACAGGATGAGGGTCACTAAACGACCCGTCTTCGTTTTGCGTCGTGATAAGATAATTGACGGGACGCCGGATTTCCAGCTGTGAGACGATCTGTTGGTCGGCATTAGCCACTAACTCAGAATCGGCCACGAGGGACAGCACCTTCACCACCAGAGCGGTCAGCCTGCAGAAAGCAACCTTCTGAGTAAGATCACTCAGCGTAAAGACTGAGTTAGCGAGTCAAGGCAGGGCTGTTATCTCATCTCCTGCTTAAAAGGCCAAAGTAACTCACCAGTGGCTGCTGGGGTGCGTTCTCCACGCTCCGTACGATCCATCTTCCTTTCTAAACTCTGTCAACAGCCTATCATAGGCTGGAAAACAGTTATTCTGTGAGCTTATAGTGCAAAAATGATATCTTAGCAAGTAAAAACACCTTAAATTCATCCTACATATATAATATCTCTCATTATGAGATTGTTTTAAGATTGTTGAAGATTCTTCAACCTATTTGTATATGTTTTCAGTCATTTTATCTGAAAAACTGTCTTAGCTTTTTGGCAGCCCTACCGCCCCCTACACTTCCTGTAGTGTATTACAGTCTGTCAGAGTGACTGTGTGGATCATATGAACATTATAGAGGCTTTTAAATGAAACAGTAGAAGCCATATCGCCCCCTACACTTCCTGTAGTGTATTACAGTCTGTCAGAGTGACTGTGTGGATCATATGAACGTTATAGAGCATTACAGAAGTCCCTGTGCTCACCTCTCTGCACGTACTCCAGTGCGGTGTCTCTTGTTCCAGCTGAAAGCTCCATCCAGCGGTTGCTGTGGTCCAGGTAGCGGATGGACAGTGCTGTTGGAGACAACCTGATCATGGTCTGCTCTGCACAACCAGCAGGAGCCCGAATCAGACTCTCCACTTTGGATGGTGACAGGAGGGGCATCGCAGTCGCCACGCTGAACGCATCTTCTGCTCCACAAGAAGGAACAAGAGGTTATTATAAAGAGACGGAAACTCAGATGTTATCAGAGGAGTTCAGGCCCGGCGTCATGGGGGGAGTATAGATGGGCTTAGCCCACAATGAGATGATGTCAACCTCCCCCTGCTGGATACATGTGAGAAGACAATAAATTGCAGACCAGTCCATCAATTCCATACTCAAAAATCATCTGATTCTACACCGATCAGGCATAACATTCTGACCACCTCCTTGTTTCTACGCTCATTGTCCATTTTATCAGCTCCACTTACTATATAGGTGCACTTTGTAGTTCTACAGTTACAGACTGTAGTCCATCTGTTTCTCTGATACTTTGTTAGCCCCCTTTTACCCTGTTCTTCAGTGGTCAGGACCCCCATGGACCCTCACAGAGCAGGTACTATTTGGGTGGTGGATCATTCCCAGCACTGCAGTAACACTGATGTGGTGGTGGTGGTGTGTTAGTGTGTGTTGTGCTGGTCTGAGTGGATTAGACACAGCAGTGCTGCTGGAGTTTTTAAACACTGTGTCCACTCACTGTCCACTCTATTAGACACTCCTACCTTGTCAGTCCACCTTGTAGATGTAAAGTCAGAGACGATAGCTCATCTGCTGCTGCACAGTTTGTGTTGGTCATCCTCTAGTCCTTCATCAGTGGTCACAGGACGCTGTTGGCTGGATATTTTTGGTTGGTGGACTATTCTCAGTCCAGCAGTGACACTGAGGTGTTTAAAAACTCCAGCAGCACTGCTGTGTCTGATCCACTCAGACCAGCGCAACACACACTAAAACACCACCACCACGTCAGTGTTACTGCAGTGCTGAGAATGGTTTGATTGGGAGAAAAACAGGCGGTATGTCACCCGTACCTTCAACTTTGACGAACACGTTGGTGATCGAGTCAGGAACCGTCATGTTTGTAAACTCGGCATTAATTAAGATTATCTTGTCAGTTCGACCTGAAATGCACAAGGCAAAAAAACACAGTTACACTTTTTAAAACACATGAACACTTCAGCACAGACTCCTCCAGCTTATTTACTTACTGGTGCTCGTGAGACGCACCAGGAGGATTATGGGAGGCGCACACCCTCCAGAAAAGGGACACTTTGTGTTGTATATGTTGCTATGTGGTGTGTGCTTATTGTGCTGTTCTGTGTCGGGGGGTGGGTTTAGTTGGTGTGGGTTGATGGTCACTGTGAAGTGGAGTGCATGGCTGGTGAGTTCAGTGCTTTTACCCTGTGTGTAATCATGGCCTCCCTGTGTCTTACTCTGTTCTGATGCTATACAAATGATATTGCACGTGTCTGTAATGTGGCACATTTCATCATAAGAATATATGTATTTTTCCCACTTTTATTGCTGTATGGTGGAAGTAAAATGAAGATAACAGCATCAGCAGCACAGCTCACCATCCAAATTAATCAGGTGACTCTCCTCCTTTCGCACCTGCACTCCCTCCGTCTACAAAACAGACACAGAAGAATGTGAATGTCACGTCAGCAAATGAATATACAAGAAGTGTAAAGCGATACAAGTGACAAAGTTTGGTGATTTATTTATTTATTTATTTTTATATCAGATCATCCAAGATGTCCAGTATGGATGTGGCTGAATCCAAATTCACTGTTTCCAGTGATTTTATCGCAGATAAGGAGGAGGAGCACCCTAATAACACCCTTACCCATGATAAAATCACTGTAATGCATGACCCTATCACTTTCAAGTCAAGCCTGCATTAAATCAAACTATGGATCTATCAGATATGCATTGCCAATGTTAATCATCTTCAGATCAGTAACATAAAGCAGATAACAGTGAAACAATTTACTTTAGCAGGCTAATATTAATGATGAAGCTAACACTCCCATATGATGTGCCATTCCTATTATTTGTAATGTTTTATTATCATTTTTTATTCCAAGCCCACTTAAATATGATGGTCCATTTTTGTTGAGGTGGATCTTTAGTTTGTAGCACTAAAAACAGAAACAGGGTGTCTGTTAAAAAAGGTGTCTTATTGTTTTGGTGTTGACAGCTTTGCTAATTATAACTGTATAGCTCTGCTTTAGCTGCTAGCTGTTCGGGGGAAAACTCATTTGATTGCCTTTGATATTTGGTTGAACTACTCCTTTAAGTAAGCTCCGCCTCTTCTCACCAGCACCAGCAGGGTTTTCTGAATGGCATCCACTCCCATCTCAAATTCCTGGTCGTACAGATGGATGGTGATGGGGATCTCGCCCTCCTTCAGAGGAACAGCAGAGAAGGTGACCACCTCTGAGGATCTCGCGGCCACCGCAATGTTGATGGAGGAGGCACTGGACTGAGATCCAGGAGAACACAGACCATCTGCTGGCTTCATATGAACCGCAAGCTGGACACGACAAGAACATTCACAAAGTCGAACTACTGTTCAAACAATTAGAATCGCTTATTCATCATATTAATCATCTTAACTACTATACCAGCAATTCAGAAACTCATTGCAGAAACTCGTTCTGGATATTGATTTATTAGAGCTTCATTCTGCAGATTCATTTTATTAGAACTTTATTCCTGATATTAATGTGTTGAGAACTGTATTCTGGATATCAATTTGGTTAGAACTTCATTCTGGATTTTAATTTTGTTACAAATTCTTTCTGGATGTTAATTTTATCAGAACTTCATTCTGGATGTTAGTTTTATTAGAACTTCATTCTGGATGTTAGTTTTATTAGAACCTCTTTCTGGATTTTAGTTCCATTAGAACATCAATGTGAATATTACTTTTATTAGAACCTCATTCTGGATATTTGTGAGCTGCAGATTCTAAGTTGTAATCTAGCTGAACTGAGTTTGTCAGCGTCTGTTTTAACAAACCTTTTTATCTTCTGTGCCGTAATTGTAGATGACCACAGCGATGGCCAGTTGTTCGTTGCGTTTGACAGAGTAGGGGAGCCTCAGAGCGATAAACACTGGCTTAAAGACGCAAATGTCCAGAGGATCGGCCACACAGAAACCTGCAAACGGTCAGTATTCGTTATGTTATTAATTAGAATGTGTAAATTTCATTCAGATCATTTTCATTTGAGCAGTAAAGCTAAGTGAGTGACCAATAGGAAACTAGCTAACAGGATGTTAATGATTATACAAGACAGATTTCGAACCACTCAATCTGATTGGTTGAAAGTCATTCGACTGTTGCTAGGTTACAGTAGTGGCCACTTTATTCCAAGCTACCCATTAACCACACTTAACACATATACATATAAATAGTATGTAAACATGGTTTGATGTGTCTCTCAGCTGCAGACCTATGCAAAAGTTTGCACACCTTGCTTCAAGGGGAATTCCACCCATTTCTCAAAATTTCTCAATAATTAAATGTTTAAGATGTAAACAGAGTCGTTCAGAACGGTTTGGTGTGAAACGCTCTGTTCTAGATACACTTACAGAGTCAGAACTGTTCACAGTGGTGGTGATAGGAACCAGACGTCCACCTCTAAAAGCTCCCTCACAGAAAGTTCCTACATGAAATGGTTATGAATTCACTGCCTGATGACTGAGACACTGTTTTATGATAGTTTAGAGAACTTAAACTCCATTCATGGTGGAGGGATACATGCAGGGCGCTGTGAGGCAAAATAGTCCCCAAAGAAAACTTATTATTTCAGATTTTCCACTATTTTCCATCATCAACATTCCATATAAACTCAGAAGACTCGTGTAGGTTCACTGGTGGTTCTGGATAGTAAATAAAATGTCTATATTAGTGTTGTAGTCATGGCGACCCCTGGTTCCTATCACCACCACTGTAAAGGCATCTGAACCATTTCACACCAAACCACTCTGAATCACTCTGTTTACACCTCACACACTGAGTTATGCAGAAAAATTGGTTGTAATTCCTCTGATTGTGGTATTAGAGTGGGCGTGGCCTCAGGCTTACCATGCGAGGAAGACAGACTGACAGCCTGGATCTCCCAGGTGGTGATGGAGTCTGGAGCAGCTATATTGTGTCTGAAACAAAGTCCAGATTCAACAAAACCAACATGTTCTAGTTATGAATCTATTGATACAATAATGTTTACCTATTATGTACTGTACTCTGTTTGTTATAATGGAGTTATATATTATATATATTATGATAAAATAGTGTATATATTCGTCAAGGTTCTTTAGTAAAGGCAATGGTACTATTTAGAACCATGAGTTCTATATAGAACCTTTTGCATGCCTAAATGGTTCTTTGCATGGTGAAATGGCTCTTAAGATTGATGGAGTATGTGCTGTATATGGTTCTACATAGCACCAAAAGGGTTCTGCTATTGTTAGATGTCAAGCTTATAACAATAAATAAACCCCTTTTGGTGCTACGTAGAACCATTTTCTAAAAGGTTCTATACAAAACTATTACAACGTATTCTCCATCAATCTGTTGAACCATTCCAAACCATTTAAGCATGAAATAGTTCTTGATAGAACGTACTGTTCTAATTGGAACCATTGCCTTTACTAGAGAACCCTTGAAGACCCATGTTCTTTAAGAGTGTAGAGATGGTCAGAATGAGATGGACTCACTCAGCTTTGCCCTTCACTTCGATTTCCTTAAACCCAAAGCTGGGGGGGAAACTCTGACGGATGTACTGCACCTCGTTATCAAAGAAGTCCTCAAAGTCAGCAGCACTAGCAGCTGTGGGGGGCAAACAGAGACCCCGTTACACCAGCTCTTCACCAGCGTTCTCAAAGCGTACAGGTTATTCATGTGTGGAACAGTTCGCTTACAGTCATATGCACAAGTTTGAACATTCCATGTCTTGTTGATTTTCTAAGTGAAAATGAGTTTAGACTTCTCTGCACATTTGCTGACTTTAACATATCATAATATCTCAATATCTCAATAACTTTTAAGATGTCATGTTGAAATAATGAGTTTAGTTAAATTTGGAGAAATTAAGTACTTATTTTGGGACAATAAGTCATTATTATGAGATGCTCAAGTCAGTCTCAAGTCAGTATTCACCAATCAACATTTTGGGAAAATGAGTCTTTTTTTAATGATTGTAAGTTAGTACTTTGAGAAACTGTCATTATTTTGAAACACTAACATGTTGAGAAAATAAGTCACTATTTACAGATACTAAATCAATATTTAGCCCCCTGGGGTCCATGAACTCGTCCACACGTCAGATTGGATGTTTCTGTATCTGTGTCTGTGTCTTTGTGATGATCCAGCTCAGAAATCCAGTTCAGACACTTCCTGAATCTGTAGAGTCGCCCTTTCCATTCCATCTTATCACGAGATCATACGAGACTCACATCCGGAGTTATGAGCCTATGAAGAGGGGCTGAGATACACGCCATCTGCCTCTCACCGTGTGGAACTGGTGGGTTGGTGTGTCCGTCTACATTCTGTGTGAAACTGACCAATGGACGCTCAGGAAATCACTAAGGACTGACCGTCTCACCGGAAACCCTTCATCCTTCATTCAGTCCACATCGGAGACTCGTGTGAAACGGCGTGCAGAGAGTTTACAGCTGCTGAAGCTGCTGCAGCGGGTTTTGGAAAGTAGTGATGAAGATAACGGAGCGTTTAGATATGAAACATATGAGGATCATGTTATATGAAGAGCCTTTAGAGGGGGATTTAAGAAGAGATGAACAAATCGAGAAAGATGACCTCAAAGCCCATTGGGTTAAGAAAATAAGTAATTTTATGAGATACTGTGTCAATATTTTGGGAAAATAAGTCATTTTTTGACACACCAAGTCAGTATTTTGAGAAAGTGTAATTTTTTGTGAAACTGTGAATATTTCAAGAAAATAATTAATTTTTTCACTATTTTTAGAAAATAAGTTATTTTTTTTAAAATACAAAGTGAAAATTTAAAGAAAATAAGTTATTTTTAGACACTAAGTCAATATTTTGAAAAAAAGAAATTTTTTGAGATACAAATTAAATATTTTAAGAAAATAAGTTATTTTTAGACACTAAGTCAATATTTTGACGCACCAGAAAGAGAAAAAAGTATGGGCACTTCTTTCTCTTAGGCTGTTGGGAATGGGCTTCTATTGATAAAGACACAGGCTGAAGTGCACTCTCGTTAAGAAGAATAATATCTGTTTATGAGCGTTTTCTTATTGTTAGCTATAACTGGGCCGTGGGTCACTAATACCCACTCCTGCCGTGGCTGCTGCGTATGTCCTCCTGCCTCTTCTTCTCTCTCAGCCTCATAGCGAACTGGCAGCATTTGAGGAAAGCGTCCACGCATGCCTGACTCTCCGTCTTGCCTATTCTCTTCTTTCTCTCCTCACAGGTCAGCTGCATGGGGATGAGCGTGAGGCCGTGACGGCAGCACTTCTGCAGCGCTGCGTCCTGAAACTCAGATTCTGCAGGACAGCAAAGAAGAAAGTGAGAATATAAAAGAGAAACAAGAAGCAAAGGCACTTAAAGCAGTGAACCTAGGACTAGTTCAGTAAAATCTTATTATTAACCAAAACAAACATGCAAATGTAATTATACACCCAAAATGAAATGCTCTCTCCAAGCTCCGCCCACAAATGCGCTACCTCATAGCAACTGTCGTGAGGTTTGACAAGCTTTACAGAATGCTGCTATAAAAATCACATTCAACCACGACTCAGTTTATATCACAATACCTACATTTAGAGTCAGTTATTCATTCAGCCTAATGAGAAACTGTAGAACAGACTCAGTTTATATCACAATACCTACATTTAGAGTCGGTTATTCATTCAGCCTAATGAGAAACTGTAGAACAGACTCAGTTTATATCACAATACCTACATTTAGAGTCGGTTATTCATTCAGCCTAATGAGAAACTGTAGAACAGACTCAGTTTATATATTCATTCAGTAGCTATGAAAGATATATAACGACACATTTGTGCTGGGACAGTAAAAATAGGATTGGAGTGAAATTCAGTAATAATTTTGTTCCTTTAAAAGGACTGGATTCACTGCTTACCCTTCTTGGTCATTTCCTTTTGTAGATCTATAGCCCGTCTCTGCCGGCGGAAACCTGACTCACAGCTCAAACCTACAGACAAAACAAGGGAAATGAATTATATATTACAATACATGTACAGTAACTGACAGACACTTACAGAGAAACCTGTTTGTTGCCAAACTGAAAAAGCTACAGCATTTTATTTATACAGCAGTTTAGGTTTCCCTCTGTTTACCTTTCCTCATCTGGGTCTTCACTGTTTCTGAGTGAGAGATGAAGGTCAGTCCAGCGTCGTTGAAGACCGCAGCAGTGTCCTTTCCACCTCCATACGAACAGCCCAGATCGTACGACTGCATGGAGGAGAACACCTGCAGGAGGAGTGCTACGCATCAGCACCGCTCACTGCAGAGCCGCTCTTACTGACCGACTGTGAGACATTCCCACACTGCAGAGGATCGGTCATTAGTACAGTAATGTACCGTATTAAAGACAGTACAGTGCTTTAAACGTGATTTACAGTTTCATAACGCATCCTGTGGAAGCCCATTTCAATACGTGAACTTCATAACAATGAGAAGGTTTCTCATCATAATCACTTACTATCTCAACATAATTTAAAGTTGTAATTTTGAGATTTTAAGTCATAATTTCTCTTAGTTGTCACTTACCATCTCATAATTATGACTTAGTATCTCATAATTGTGACGTACAATCTCACAATTATGACTTGGTGTCACATAATTATGACGTACAATGTGATAATTACAATCTCATAATTATGACTTAGTATCTCATAATAATGGCTTAAAATCTTGACAATAATTATGAGATAGTAAGTCATAATTATGATGTTGTAAGTCATATTTATGGGATACTAAGTTGTAAATATGAGATTTTAACTCATAGTTTTGATATAGCAAGTCATTATTATGAGACATTAATTCATATTTAAGAGATACAAAGCAATAATTATAATTATAAGATAATAAATCTGAATTATGATTGTAAGTGATAATTATGATATACCAAGTCATCATTATGATGTTAAACATCATAATCATGAGATAGCGAGTACTACTAAGCCCTATTTATGAGATACAATTAAATTATTCTGAGATCATAATAATCACAAGTATTAGATATAATCATGGTCATAACATAATAAGTGATCACTTTGACGTAGGTTTCTCATCATTATTATGTAGTAAGTATTAATTATGAGATACTATGTAGTAATTATGAGATGCTGAGTCATAATTTTGGGAAAATTTATGATTCTGACTTTATTAAGGGCTATGTTTTTGGCTTACATAGCGTCCTTTTTTGAATTCTGGGAAAATATGATTTACTTATTGTACAGCTGCTGTAATATTACTGTAACAAAAATGTATTAACACATCAAAACATACAGTCAAATCAGCTTTAGTGTAAAACTAGGTGTTAATGTAGTTTTTCACTTCTCAGTTATTTGAACACTGAAGAGCTCCTGAGCTGCATTAATATTCGATGTGACTGTACTCAGTTAGTGTCACAGTTATGAAACATCGGCCTGCTTCACTTTCAGCAGCTTCAGACTTTTAACTTTGGACATTTCATTCAAAAACACGATCATCTGCTCAGGTCAGCTACTGTAAAAACAAATAAAACATTTAATAAGATGTTCCATTACAGACTAATGAGAAGTGTAGACTGTCTAAAGTGTATGTAATCATGTGAAGTGTTTGACTGGGGGTCCAGTGCCCCCCTCTCCCTACACCCCATTCTACACTGTATAATCCAGGTGTGTGTGGCACCTGCTTTGGGGTGAGTTTGTTCTGGGCGTTCAGGGCGTAGATGGCCTTGTCCACAGCCAGTAAGGCCACTTTCACTTTACTCTGCGTTCCCACATCGATGTTCAGCTTAATAAAATCTCCTGGACCATAGTAATTTCGCTGATCCGCCTCTTTTACCTCGATCTAGAAAATATAACACCAACACTGTTCAAGGATTAATAGTTAAAGCACTTCTGTGTTTATATTGCAGTGAGGGAATCATTTGTGCTGCTAAGAAAAGAGAAGTTCAATCAGTTTAGTCAACCCTTCACTAAACTGAATCAGTTTAGTCAATCTTTTATTAAACTGAATCAGTTTTAGTCAATCCTTCACTAAACTGAATCAGTTTAGACAATCTTTTATTAAACTGAATCAGTTTTAGTCATCCTTCACTAAACTGAATCAGTTTAGACAATCTTTTATTAAACTGAATCAGTTTTAGTCAATCCTTCATTAAACTGAATCTATTTAGTCAATCCTTCATTAAACTGAATCAAGTTTAGTCAATCCTTCATTAAACTGAATCAGTTTTAGTCAATCCTTCATTAAACTGAATCTATTTAGTCAATCCTTCACTAAACTGAATCAGTTTAGACAATCTTTCATTAAACTGAATCAAGTTTAGTCAATCCTTCATTAAACTGAATCTGTTTTAGTCAATCCTTCACTAAACTGAATCAGTTTAGTCAATCTTTTATTAAACTGAATCAATTTTAGTGAATCTTTCATTAAACTGAATCAAGTTTAGTCAAACCTTCATTAAGTTAAACAAATATAATTAAGTCTTCATTATAATAAGTTAGTTTAATCAATCCTTAATTAAACTGAATCAATTAAGCCTCAGAGAAGACAGCAGATGAGGAGGCTGCTGATCTGAAGGCTAGCAATGTGATTCAGGGCTCGTTGGAAGGGCGTGTCACGCTCTACTGGAGTTTGGCTTCATCTCAGATTTTTTAAGTCACTGGTTGCCCAGCATTCCTTCTCCTCTGGTTTTATTCATGATGTAATCAGTGATTAGTCGACATCAACCCAACTTTTATCACATAAAACATAAATAATGAAATAAAGCGTAGCCGCTCTCTGGCCCACAGATGTGCTGAGATTTTTCAGTGTGGCTGAGTTTGACTCCCCTGCTGTGGATGCAGATGGTCAGTGTTACAGCAGAACTCACCTTCCCCTCACAGGAGTCCTTCACATCCACCCACACTGAGTCTGCCACGATCTCACCGTTACTGTGGTAATAATACCCAATCAGACGGAAGGACGGGGTCATTTCCGCTTTGATCGGGATGTCCACTCTGGTCAAATCTCCTGCTTTCTGAGAACCAGAATCTACAAGAACCCCTTTACTAACCACCTGAGGAGAACATACATTTCAGATTTAGTAATCCTTCATTGAGTTAAACCAGTTCAATCAATCCTACATTACGCTAAATCAGTTTAATCAATCCTTCATTAAGATATAGCAGTTTAATCAATCCTACATTTAGCTAAATCAGTTTAATCAATACTTCATTGAGTTAAATCAGGTTAATCAATACTTCATTGAGTTAAATCAGTTCAATCAATACTTCATTGAGTTAAATCAGTTTAATCAATTCTCTATTAAGTTAAATCAGTTTTATTAATCCCTCTTTTAGTTAAATCAGTCGAATCAATCCTTCATTAAGTTAAATCAGTTTAATCACCTAAGTTAAATCACTTCAATCCACCATTAAGTTCAATTAGTTTGATCAACCTTCCATTTGTATTAAATCAGTTTAATCATCCTTCATTAAGGTAAACCAGTTTAATCACCTAAGTTAAATCACTTCAATCAATCCTTCATTAAGGTAAACCAGTTCAGTCAATCCTTTAGCTCAGTTTAATCTGCAGGTTACCAGTTTTTTTATTCATATACTGGATTTTCTTGCTGTGATTTTATGCATCAGTTTCTACTTATTGAATCGTATCTTTCTCACCATGTAGTAAATGTATTTATCTGCCGGGTTGCCGTTGACAACATTGAAGGCCACATTCAGGATGTTTCCAGGTGAGAAGACTTTATTGTTCACGCTTATAAACAGGAAGCTGCTGCTCGCTGAAGTGGACGGACGGATAGTCTTTGTGGACTTAACTCCGTCCACTGTTACCTGACAATACAGGAACAGTACAACATTTAATTCTCTTTAACATTCAGAAACAGTGATATAGAAGATCTACGGCACTGAACTTTCTTAGTGAAGACAGTGGTCCTATATAGAACCATGAACACTACCAGATCCCTATGCATGATTAAAGGGTTCTTTTCATATTGAAATGGTTCTTCAGATTGATGGAGAATGTGCTGTAGATGGTTCTATCTAGCACCAAAAGGGGTTTTGCTAATGTTACAAGTTTGGGAATGTCACAATATCAGAACCCTTTTTAGTGCTATAAGAACGCTATACAACACATTCTCCGTATGAAAGAGGGCTCTTTGAGTGTTCGTTGTTCTTTATTAAAAAATGATCATTACTAAAGAACCCTAGAAGAACCGTCTTTTTCAAAGGTCTAGCTATAGTGAAGTAAATGCAGAGCTGTATCCTGAAGTACGTGGGGTTGTTTGGCACAAACATATTAATAATTATCCACTGCACACAAACTGAATGATACTCACATGCAGCACTGTACTACATCACTGTATACAGTAAGGTTACATTCAATTTGTAACATTATTTTTAAAAAATATATGAAACATAAACAGAAGTCTCTGTTCTTGTACTTCTACTTATTAATGCTAGTAATATTCCATGAAGGGTACCTGGAACTGGAGCTGGGTTCAAGTCAAAGACAATAGAGATGAAACATTCCAAACATTTAACTGATTGATGACATCATGTAGTTGCGACTGAATGTTTATAACTGTGGACTGGTTTTAATGTATGTTTGTATGTTTGTTCTTTGGAATTACAGCCTCTTAACATTGTGCCACCCATCGCCTAATCTAATATACTAGGTCTGTTTCCACTCACCTCCACAGTTATGGACGAAGGCCTTTGCACAAGATTGAATGGGTGTGTTGCGATCCCCTCATCGTCTGTGTTTTTAACGAAGGATTTCTCCACAGTGTTGGATACGTCAGTCTTCACTGGGACGCCTTTAGCTGGCAGTCCGTTTGGAGTGCGCACCACAACCTAATCAAGGAGATAAACAGGAACACTTTCAGCTCATTAGAACTCACAGTTCACACTTTTAAGTAAAATTCACTGGGTTTTTCTAGTGTTGATTGAATATCTGAAAATGGGTTCTTATGACATCACAAAAAACAGTGAATTCAAAACATTTTTGCATGGTTTCCATATACGGACTGTATGTTCTGGGAGTGAACGGTGTGTTTTGAACTTTGACTGTGTTTATATGTCACCTCAAACTCCTTCATTTTAAAAAAGCAAGGGAAGTTCTGTTTTCCATGATACGAACACTTCAAAGGTGCAAATTGAGCTCTACGTCTTTTCTTTCAGTAGATTGAGTAAGTTTTCCAGAGCACTGTCAGTGTAGTAGTGTGGGTGGAGCTGCCACAGGCTCCACCCCATCACCATCAATGCCAGTGGCGAACCATGATAGTGCTAGGCCTTCAGTTCGGGCCATTATGTCAAAGCTTGAGGAAAGCAAAACACCTATACAATGATGCTAATTTCTGCTGACACCCCTATGGGATTTATAGCAGTACGTTAGCACTAAGCTAACAGCAACTCACATTCATTTTTCTGACCATTCTCGATGTTTGAACCTTGTAAAAGACTTATATTTGAGTTTAGGGCATTTTCCACGAATAGACTTCAGTTTATGTCCCGTTACCTTTTTAAACGCAATGAAGTGACGGTTTGTTGCTGTGTTGAATCGATCTGTACTTCAACTCAATATAAAAAGACTGAAATGAGCATTTAATTTATCACAAAAACACATAAAATCACTGTATTCACCTTTAACATTGTGATTCTGGGCTGACACTGAACTTCTCTATGAAATATATTCTCAGAATGACCATCAGACAGGTCAGTATTCTCATTCTGTTTTATTAATTTACACAGAAAAACACTTATTTGGCTGCTTAATTATTTATCCTTGTTACTAAAATTAGAAAAAAAGGAATAAATATTGATATTTGTTTAATTTATGTAAAATATATGATGATTAGTAGTTAGCATGCAGCGTGTGCAGCCTGTTGAGCTGACCGCTCCCGAGTGCTGCTTATTTTAGGCCAAATTAGCCACCCTGTAACCTTTAACCATCAATATATCTGCTATTTCTGATTTTGATGCTGTTTTAAAAAAATTATAAGGTTATTTAACTTTTTTTCTAAACATTTTTTACTTGTTTTAAGTTATTAAATCTAGCGAATTGATTCTATTGCCAGATAATTGTGCTCATTTCAAGCTACATTTCCTAAAAGAAGAAAACTAGTCTGCATTATGACGACACAAGAAACAAAACAGGGAGTATAACAGCTTGGAAATGAGTCCTTACAACAACCTCTTAATGAGAAATCTCAGATATGTCCACAAGATTTCAGTCGATTTCACTTGCTGAGTTACAAATCTATGCGGTGTGAAGTTGAATGAATCTGTATAAGAACACTTTCAGCACTGTTGGAGTGGAACAGCTGGAACTAATGTTTCCGCCCAGCAGCCACTCACTGACCTCTATCACAGTGAGTTTAGAGTCGGTGGGTTCTCTGCTGTTTCCTAAGTTCAGGGAAACACTTTGAAGTGATCTGTGATGATCGATCGTGCAGTCACAGCAGACAGAGACCAGGACGGAAAATTCCAGAGTATTCCTTTAATAAGGTCAATTCTAAATAAGAATAAATCAGCCGTGAGAATTCTTACCACCACGTCCAGTGGCATCTGGGGGATGTAGTGTGACCGTGTTCTGGACAGGTCCACCAGGTACGGCTGGGATACGATAGGAAGGAACATTTCTGTCTCCTGTACCTCACCACCTAGCAGGAACACGAGGGCATTTCAGACAGGTCAGTAGGACAGATATGTGTAATAATAATAATAATAATAATAATAATAATAATTTTTAGACAAGTAATTATTTTAAGACAGTAAATCAAATTTTTCACAAAATAAGTCATTCTTTTTAGAAAATGATGTTATTTTGAGATGTTAAGTAACATTTTTCAGAAAATAGGTCATTATTTTGAGATGCTAAGTCAAATTTTTCAGAATATATCATTATTTTGAGATGTTAATTAATTTTTTTTCTAAAATAAGTCATTATTTTGGTATGCTAAGTCATTTCTTTTAGGAAATAAGTCATTATTTTGGTATGCTAAGTCATTTCTTTTAGGAAATAAGTCATTATTTTGGTATGCTAAGTCAAATATTTCACAACAGAAGTTATTATTTTGAGATGTTAAGTCATTTTTATGATGTTTAAGTCATTTCTGGATATTAAGTCAATATGTTGACGTTATGCTGCCAGAAACAGAAAAGAAGAAACAAAACAAAATAATAAAGGCCACATTCTGGCTCAGTTTGCTGAATGTGAATTAAAGAGATCATCTGACTGTCATCTCCTCTCCTAGTGATCCTCTGATCCTCATTAAGGGATCGTTCAGAGATGCACCAATCAGAGCGAGTGTTTGTGCTCAGTATGTTCTGCAGTAAACAGGGAGGATCTTTACTGATTTTGTCTGTGACAGTGACGCTGATGTAGAACCGAGCTCCGCCCTCTGCCAGGCGCTGCAGTGTTGTGTTCTGGAGCTTCTGCCGGACGTCTGACAGACTCAGAGTCACGTCGGCTTTGCCGTCTCGTATCTGAGGAACAGAGTCAGTGGAGAACCTCAGAGCTCTTCTCACTGTCACCACTTTATTTCACATACGCTGCTCAGAAAGTCAGGAAGCTCCATCCTTTCACTTACTGGTCCAGTTTTCTCCAGACCCTTTATGAATGTGATGTCATCTGACCCGGTTCTGACCCCAAACCGACAGTGGAATCCTCCACTGATCGTCTTCCCATAAGAATACCTAATGAGTGATTACTTTAGTGAAATGAAGACAGTTCTGTGGACACAGGCCAGGATGTGTACATTACTCAGAGCTCACCCTGCCAAAAGCGGCATCTCGGCAAGTGAAACGATCATAAATATGATTAATATATCTAATATCTCTCATTTTGAAATTGTTGAAAGCTTATATTAAGATTATTTTCCTAATTTCGAGCCAATTTTTACTTGTTTTAAGTGATTTAATTAAGCAAAATGATCAGAAGGTAATTTTCTCAATTATTTTTCAGTTTAGTGAGATTATTTATTATTTGTTATTTTTTACTTTACAATTAATATTTTTTACTTGTTTCAAGTAATTTTATCAATTAAAATAATCTCATTATACTGAAAACAAACAAAAATATCTACTAACATTGTGAGATCATTTTCCCTGATATAATCTCTTTAAAAAGTTTAAGTAATCTTATAATATTTCTAATAATATTACTGTCTGAAAATAACAAACATTAGATATATTGACTAGATTTAAGATCATTTCACTTGATAAGATAAAATGTTTGCAGTGTAGAAAGTTCTAGACTCACACTGCAAGAAAATATCTCAGCTAATAAAATTCTTAGATGGGGACTAAATATCCAATATTTGTAATTTCAGGAGGTTTAGAATATTTAATTTATTTCTAGGCATTTTTACTTGTTTGGAGTTATTGTACTAAGGGAGATTACTTCACTATTGGCAGATATTTTTGCTTTTCTTTAAGAGAAAAGCTTAAAAAGCACAAACATCTGCCACTATAGTGAGATCATTTCACTTAATTGCTTTAAAAGCAAAAAAGCAAAATATCTAGAACCAAATGAAACATATTACAATGTTCCTACAAGCATCTCGAAAGTTAAAACATTAGATATTTAGACCATATTTAAGATAGTTTATTTTGCCAAGATGCCATATTTGGCAGTTTAACAATAACACTTTAAAATAAAAAATGTAAATTCTAGAGACAATTCTAAAAGTTATTAGAGCAGAAAGAGACTCACGAAGCCCCAACAGAGAATTTAAAATGTCCAGCGTTCACCAGAAGATAGCCAGATTCAGGCAGGATGGACACGCCGAAACTGGGAAGCACTAAAAACACCAGGTTGGGTTTCAACTTTTTTGAAAACTTGAAAACAATTTGAAATATCTTAAGGCATTTTAAAGAGCACGCTTCATGAAAAACACCAAAAATGTACACATATATACTGTTTAATCACTTAATACTTGTATAATAAATAATAAATGCACAGCAGTGAAACTCTTTTCCAAAGTGTGCAAACTGAGACAGATAATATTCATATTGTACAGTACAGTTTGCTTACCGAACTTCTGGACCTTGAATTCGCGGACGCTTGCGCTCTTCTCGTCGCCTTTGTAGTGAGCTTTGATCTTCCACACGCCCGGCCTAAAGAGAGCAGCCTGCTGAGATTAACTAATACAAGCCTTTCATATGTCGAGCTCAACAGTTACTATTTTCAAAATGATTCTGATTAAGATTATAAAAGGGATTCATTTCTTTGTCTTTGGGAAACTGAAGGCCAGTGTTCAGATAAAAGTAGAACATGTTTGTTCATAAAATCTTCAGTTTCCAAAAGGAAAAGAAGACTTTTATATTGGTGTCACGCAAAAAAATGAAAAAAAAAAATTATTGTTGCCATATGGCAACGCCACACGCCCGGCCTGAAGAGAGCTGCCTGCTGAGATTAACTTACACAGGCATTTAATGTCCTTAACTAGGCTGTTGCCATAAGGCAACAAAGACTTTTCAGCTGACTACAATATAAAAGTCACTCATTTTTCATTTCCTTTGGAAAACTCAGTAACTCAGTGTACTTTTATCTGACCTCACGCCTTCCTGTTGAATTCTGTACTTCTTTTTTAGTGCATACCTGCCACATCTCTCAAAACATATAACTCAATATTCATACACAAACAAGTCTGTGGCAGGTTGAAGCTTCTCCTATATAAAATAAAACCGGTTTAGATGCAACTGTTTTTATACAAAATGGCAAAATGCATTTGTTGCCATATGGCAACAAAATGAAACACTGAACATGTATTAAAACATCTATGCATATTGGGCTGTTATATGTCATTTTCAATGCCTGGATGATCACATAGCTGTTTCCATTAGCAGTGTATTGATTTACTCCTGTTCTATCCACTGACGCATGTGGCCATTGGGCAACAAAATGCAAAACACTTCCCTCAAAATATTTTTTCTAGTTTTTATTTTTATTATGTATTCTGTTTCAATATGAAAAATAAAATGGTTCATGCATGTTACATTTCATAACAATGGTGAGAGGTGCTAGATAAGAAATATAAAAGAACATACTGTGATAAATCAGGAATATGGAAACTCTTGGAGAAAATGCCGTCTCTGACTTTGTACTGGACTTTCTTGATTGTATTTCCTTCCGCATTCTATTAAAAACAATCACAGGCAACACGGAGACAACATAACATGTGGTCAGTACTCGGCACAGTTTCTTGTGACACATTTTTATTTAATTTTGAGCTCATTTGCTTCAAGCTACAATTTTACTGAATTGCTTTGAGTGACTTTTTTAAGCAAATGTTACAACTATCTGTTACTCCGAATCCAGTCTATGGGGGAAGTTGTCATAGTGGTAGGGTGGTTATATAAAGAAAATTCAAATCATTTTTATAATTATTTGTATCGTAGCTCAAGCCTTACTCTTTCATACTAATTAAAAGAAGTGGATGTGGTTAAGGCGACACTTACAACGATGTGCACAAATATCATGTCTGATGTGGGGCGCATGGCGTGATCCAGGACAAAGATCCTGTACTGAACTGCAACGAAATGGACAGAACACATGATATAATCAACCTTAACATCTACTTATTCACACAGAATTGATATTTATGGATATATAAATAGCTGCCCCAATATTTTTGAATTTCCGCTGAGCGGACTGTGCTGTGTTTACCCGTCTGTGTGGGGTTATACATGGGCTGGTCAGTCTGAATGAAGATGTAGCCTCTGTGTGGGGACACTAAAACTCGAGTGATCTGCCGCCTCCTTTCACCAACATCACACACCAGGTTCAGGTAAGGAGTCTCTCCGTCAGCTGAGGTCAACTCCGCAACTTTTTCCGCAGGCACCTTTCGGAAGAGTTGGAGACGTGAAAAAGACAAAAGTACAAAAAAGAGCGAACGCAGAAAGCAGTCTGTTAGCGGAGCGCGATCAGATGTGATAACAATCTGACCATTTATTTAAATTATCTGTGATTTTATGATGTACGTAATATGAGCTGCCTAAAGACATGGTCAGTACATTCACTGCAAAAAGAACAAGAACTACAAGGGGAAAGTTGGGAGCTACAAAGCTGTCGAAATGGTATCCCAGGTGGTTGCTAAGGTGTTGCTTGGTCATTGCTATGTTATCCCAGGTGGTTGCTAAGGTGTTGCTTGGTCATTACTATGTTATCCCAGGGCTATTGCCATGGTTTCCCAGGTGTTGCTCAGATGTTGCTAGGCTGCCTTATAATTTAGAGTGACATTCAGGAAATAATGTTCACAGGTCTTTGAAGCATTTTTGTTTACCGGGTTAAAGAGGTTAAACAAAAATGTTCATTTTTCCCAAAGAGATAAAAGGCTCAGACTATGAGTTCCTTATATGATCACTATGCCGACTGCCGAACCGACACCTTCAGAGCTCTGTGATAATTGATACACCACTGCACACATCTGTAATTTGTGTTTTTGATTTCATCTAATAGGTGCTTTTTATTTTCATACTTTGTCCAGATATACTTCATTTACCTTTAGGCCTAGTTTTCCAATCTGTCCTTTCTGGGTGATGCTTATAGTTTCCGACTCTGACATGCGAACCCGTTTCACCTCCTGTTCTAAGTAACAGGTCACGCTGACCGGCACGTCTCCGACCTGCACCAACACCTGCTCCGTCACTCCAACATGAAACACGCTGGGAGCCGTCACCAGGAACCTGAAACAGACACCAGGACGGAATAATCAAGGAGATTTTCAATACATTCTGGAGAAATCACTCGAACTTTGTGACTGATTATCTCTGATTTTTGGTGCATGCAACAGTGTATATGTTTGAGGGACGTAGTCTGGTTGCATTATTTGGGGTAATCCAGCTCTCATAGTCACAACAGGCAGGGGTCAAAACACATCAGAGGCAGATCAATATTCAAAAAAAAACAAAAGACAAAGCAGGGGTCAAAACACAGGGCCAAACTAACAGAGGGAAAGTGGCTGAGAACTCAGGTAAAGACATACAGAGACTTCGCAAAAACACCCGGCTAAACACAGAGGTAACTGCAGGGGTGAGTCTGACGGGAGTCCAGGTGGAGTCTCCCTAGAGGGGGAGACATCATGACAGGACCTCCCCTTAAGGCACAGCTCCCATGACAGAGAGTGGGACTGGAACTTGAGGAGGCACTGGGAAAACAGGCAGGATCCAAAGGAGAAAAGGCAGTCTAGAAAAGAGACCAGAGGGGAGAGGGTCAACAGGAACCTGCTTAGAGTGCAGGCCAGGGACGGAGCAGGAAAGCTGGCATTGGAGCAGCTCTGGGAGTCAACGCAGGAGGAGTATTCTTAAAAGCTGGCACTGGAGCAGCTCTGGGAGTCAACGCAGGAGGAGTATTCTTAAAAGCTGGCACTGGAGCAGCTCTGGGAGCCGGCGCAGGAGGAGTATTCTTAAAAGCTGGCACTGGAGCAGCTCTGGGAGCCGGCGCAGGAGGAGTTTTCCTAAGCGCTGCCACTGGAGCAGCCCTGGCAGCTGACACAGATGCTGCCCAGGGAGTCAGAACTGGAGTATAACAGAAAGCAGGAATAGGAGTGGTCCAGGACGCTGGAAGTGGAGCACCCCGGGAAGCATGAACAGGAGAGTCAGCTCCAGTTGTGGTTGTCTCTGCAGGGGGAGGTGGCTGGAGGAGCCACCACAGGAGAGGAAGATCTGAGAGCCACCACAGGTGAGTTAGCTGGATGAGTTGCCACTGGGGAGGTGGCTAGAGGAGCCACCACAGACGAGGCAGCTCTGGGTGGCATGATAAGGACAGGCATCAACAGGCCATGCTACCTTGCATTGTTTCATTCATAATTAACTATTTAAGTTTAATTAAAATAGTTAAATAGCTTGATAATAAACCCTTTTTTCCTCTGTGCAGTCTATAATTGTAGTTCTGTATCTTGATCAGTTTCTGAGATATAGAGCTTTTAAAAAGTGGGTGTGGCTTTAAGTTTTTCCTTTAAATAAGCACTATGGAGAAAAGTATAAAGTCTGGTCATTTTAAACTGTTGAAATTGTTTAGAGTTGATGACCATATGTGTTGGTAAAAATGAGAAAAAAAGTAGCAAAATTTGCAAGAATATAGAATTAATTAATGTATTATTATTATTATTATTATTATTATTATTATTATATTGAATATAGATACATTGTTTTGTATACACATGTAGATAATGTAATATTATAGTTATGTAATACTGTTGTGTGGCTGTTTGATTCAGTCTGTATTTAAAATTTCTGTCTTGTGTAAAAGAAGATGTATTTGACAGTTTAATAAAAACAGTTTAAATCAAGATACCAACCATATATTTGATACATCTGTTATAAAAAAAGCTGTTTTCAGTAGTATGAATTAATTTTGGTGCACTTTTTCAGACATAATCGATACGCATGTAAAACCTGAGAGTTTTGTTCAGTTTGATGAAAATTTAATTTGAACTTTTTTTTTTCATTTTAGAGGTCACTGCAGAATTTTTATATGGTTTTTCCTGTTGTTTCAGCAAGTTATAAAGGAGCAAACATGCATCTCTGTATATTCTTTGGTACCCAAAAAACACACATTAAAACAAGTGATAATCCATGAAAATTTTTCTAGCACCAATAGCTCAAAAGTTATGACTTATCAATGTTTATACATTTTTTGTCTCAAATTTTAAGGCGAAAAAAAGGCCACACCCACTTTTGGAAGCCTCTATATCTCAGAAAATAACAAAGATGCAGGTTTTTGCACACCGTCTGTTGGGTCCAAATAAATTATTAAGCAATTCTGATATTGCCAGCTGGTGATTTGAGGTGGATTTGGCCATAGGAGTGTAGAGGTCAACAGGTCGCAGCACACACAGTGTTCTTGCACAAACTGAGCTGTGCTTCAAAAAAGTGTTCCTACACAAAAGGTAGATCTCATATTTCTCATGCAGTACGATAACTTTGAGTGTAGAAAAGATCAATAAAGAAAAGTAATCAAAATGCTGTCCAACAGACACAATTTAGACACATCGTTGCTGCCTGGATGAAACCTTGTATCTCAAAAATAGTCATTTTACAGGAGAAGATAAAAACATTCTCAACTTGTAATGGAAGTTAATGCAACCAAGTAATTTTGGAATACTTCTATTTGTCCTTCCATCATGAAACTTTAACATGGTGCAAAGGGGAGTTTTTAAATGAATCCCTTAAATGGCCAGGGCCCACCGGCAGGCCCACACTTCTAAAACCTAAGAACAGCTCAGCCAGTTTGCATTGAAGTTCCTGTAGTTACTGAATAACAAGCCTTAGTATGAAATAAGCCTGTGATTTTAAGGGGTTAATGTAGGTATAAGGTAGGTGTACATAGTAAAGTGTCAACAAAGGGTATTTATCCACTGCCCAGCGAACAAGAAACTTTGCCACCAGAATACTGGAACTGCGCTTTTTCCACTGGTCATCAGTTCAGGACTGAAAGGTCCAGCTGAAGCGTGTACCAAAGCTCCTCTGTCTTTGGTAACACTGCAGCTGAAGCCAAAGACAATTTAGAAAACCCTTCAGTGTTCTCGGTCAGGATAAAGTCACCAAGCACTATTACATGACCAGTAATGTGCACCAGAACTTGAACTAGAATGTTACATGGATGTTTCCATCCGCAATTTGAAAATTATTATTTTGTAGTTCACTAGCTAGGAGGCTAATGCTGTTAGCATGTATATTAGCTCCCTGAACGTGTTTTTGCTCTTATTTTCACACTCAACAGCGACAAATACAAGCTTTGCTTGATTCTACCCATGATTCTGTATAAATGCCCTTTCATATCAGCCAATAAATTAAGCTAATTAGCAAGCAACGTAGCTAATTAAACACTTTAGAGTGGCATAAACTGAGCAATTAACCCCTTAAATGGGCAGGGCACAAATTTTTATTACACACTCCTATAACCTGAGAATAACTCAACCAGTTTGCATTGACGTCCCTGTAGTTACTGAATAATAAGCCTTAGTATGTAATAAACCTGGGATTTTAAGAAGTTAAGCAAGAAAGTCAAAAATGATAAAAATGAAGATACAAGGTTTTTGTGAGACGATATCCTAGTTTAATCCAAGCATGTATAGATCAGTTACGTCTTAACAGAACAGTTCACTGCAGTCCATGTAACCCATCCACACGCAGCCGAGCCGTGATAACGCGCTGTTCTCTCAGAGCTGCTTACCTTTGTGCAGAAACCAGCTGTGCAGTGAAAGTGAGGCACAGCAGTAGATACAGTACTGAGCCCATGGCTGAGCCGAGTGGACAGAGGGAAAGTATGTGCGCTGATGTTGCCTCTTCTCTGACCGTTATCTTCTGCTGTTTGCCCTTCAGTAAGAAAGGCTAATGTGCTGGAAGGTGGATCAGGAGTTCGCGTTGCACAATCCCGAATTTCTCCATTCCTATTGGATATGTGTTTGGAGCTGTTTCTCTAAAGTCATGTGATTTCACAGAAACGCTTCAACAAATATTGCACAAGAACTGAACTTGTTTTATTTTATTGAGATTAAATTCAGTTTCCATTTTATTGGGGAAGTTTATCACATTTCAGTGACACAACTAGTGAAATTGTGTACATTTTACAAATTACGTAAAAAAATGAAAGTGGGTTCTTTGAAGTGATGCCATAAAAGAACAATCTTTTGGTTTCCTAAAGAATCTTTTAGTGGATGGTTCTGTAAAGAAATCAAGAAACTTCTAAATGAGATATTTGAAGAACCATTCAAAAGTTCTAAAATATGCAAAGGTACTCTATACATGTGGGTTTGTTTTTGGGCCTGTTGTTGGGTCTATTGGTGGGTCTGTTCTTGGGTCTGTTGTTGGATCTGTTTTTGGGCCTGTTGTTGGGTTTGTTGTTTGGCATGTCATTGGGCCTGTTGTTGGGTCTATTGTTGGGTCTGTTCTTGGGTCTGTTCTTGGACATGTCATTGGGCCTGTTGTTGGGTCTATTGTTGGGTCTGTTCTTGGGTCTGTTCTTGGGTCTGTTCTTGGGTCTGTTCTTGGACATGTCATTGGGCGTGTTGTTGGGTCTATTGGTGGGTCTGTTCTTGGGCTTGTTGTTGGGTTTATTGGTGGGTCTGTTCTTGGGCTTGTTGTTGGGTCTGTTGTTGGATCTGTTCTTGGGTATGTCATTGGGCCTTTCATTAAGCCTTTTGTTGGGTTTGTCATTGGCCTGCGATTAAGTTTGTTATTGGGTCTGTTGTTGGCCGGGGTCGGTTGTTGAGCCTGCCGTTGGGTCTGTTGTCGAGCCTGCCATTGGGTCTGTTGTCAAGCCTGCTGTTGGGTCTGTCGTTGGCCTGGGTCTGTTGTTGAGCCTGCCACTGGGTCTGTTGTCGAGCCTGCTGTTGGGTCTGTCGTTGGCCTGGGTCTGTTGTTGAGCCTGCTGCTGGGTCTGTTGTTGAGCCTGCTGCTGGGTCTGTTGTCGAGCCTGCTGTTGGGTCTGTCATTGGCCTGCCATTGGGTCTGTTGTCGAGCCTGCCGTTGGGTCTGTTGTTGGGTCTGTTGTTGGGTCAGTTGTCAGGCCTGTTGTTGGGCCTGTTATTGAGTTTGTGTTTGGGCCTGTTGTACTTTGACCTGTGTCCTTGACTTTATTAGTAACTCCTCCTCCTCTGATCTGCTACAGTAAATCACCCCCACAATCTCTGCACCGTCAACAATGATGCGTTCAATATAAATGTGCGTTCATTACTTGTATTGTCAGTACTTTAACACAACTTTCTGTCAGTGTGGATCTCTATGGCTGAATTAGAACACATCTTTATATAAAAGCACTGCCACTGTAAAATATAGTATACAGATAACACAGTGATTGATGTCAAAAGTTGTGTTGTGTTTATTGGTTTTAAGAAATAAAATCTCCTAGTTTCACAAGAATGCCCCCACTTGAGTGGTGATACATTTGTGATACAATGTGATACACTGAAGACACTTGAGTGAAACATACATTTTTCACATAATAACACAGTTATTACTATATGTAAATACCAAATTTCCAGTCATAACAGCCGTTAAGTCTAAGTTATTGATTTTTCAGGAGATATTTGTAAGAATATAGTATATAATATAATCCACTATAATTTTTTTCCAAAACTGGAGTTGAAAAACAGATTAAAAGCTCCAGAGAAAATGTGTCGCCTAACAACCACCTGGAAGACCCGGTCGACCCCAAAACTGCCCCCATCAGATAAACAGCACTTAAAGCTTTCATCTCTGAGAGAGAGGAGAAAATCAAGCTGCTTCAGATCTGAAAACATCCACAGGTGTTTCTGTCCATCCTTCCACTGTGAGAAGACGACTCAGCGCTGTGGGTCTGAAAGGATGTGTAGCTGTGAAGAAGAACCTCACTGAGAAAAGGAGACGGACACATCAAACAAAGAAGCTGAACGATGGACTGACCACCCCAGAGTCCAGACCTCAACACCACTGAATGTGTTTGATTACTTCAGAAAATCATCAACCAGCTTCTAAGACTGAACTTTGGAGGTGTGTCTGCAGATTCTTTGAGGAACTGAAAGTGAGTCTCCTGAACAGAACGGAAGCTGGAATAAAGGTAAAGAGTGACTCACTGACTCACACAGCTGAGATTAGAGTTAGCTGTAGTGTAACTTGAACATAATGGCTATTTTGACTGGAAATTAGAAAATAAATAAAGAAGATGTTGCTGGTTTTCTGAACAATAATGTATAGTTTATCCACGTGGAAATGATGTACACATTTGAATGATACAGAAGCCTTAAAGGGCCATAGATTGGCATGTTTTTATCTGTTTTACTGTGATAACAAGTTACTTTAATTTGTTTTCTTGCAATTGCGTAATTTTATGGCATCTCAGCAAAACAAATATATCATGACCCATTAATATTATCTCGATACACCAAATGAAATGAATCATTATCACAGAAAAGAGTCTTTGAATCATTAGACCTTTGGGGCTTCAGTAGAATCAAGAACGTTCAGTTCATCACTGTTTTCAGTTTGGAAACAATGAAATATCACGTGTCCTTCTTCATTTAATCTGCGCTGTGGCAGCCAGAAGTGTGATGTCCATCCACAACTCCTGCTTAGTGACCATGTAGATACAAGAATTGCGTTTGGACAATCAGCCCCTGACTGCCAAACACGAACTGACCAGAGTCCAGCGCAGACGCCCAGGAGATCCGTCATGTGTTTTACTCAAAAAGAGCCGACGCGAGCCTAATGAAACAGAGAGACACTGGCAGGAACCACACACAAACAACACTACGAAGAAATCCAATCAGAAATGAAGATATTTTAAAAAATTCTGAATCTTAATTCTAAGATTCTGCTAACAAAAATCATATAAATGATCAAAATGAATGCAGTTTTTTTCAAGCTGTCAAATTTCTAAAATATTAAGACATTCATGAAATGAAAAATCAATCAAAACATTTAAAACTTGAGAGAAATTCATGAAGTCAGAAACAAGAGCATATCGTGAAAGTGTCTAGTTTTATTTCTATTTTTTATTTTCTTCAGAGTTTATGTAAGTTTATGTCCAGTTATATGTGTTGCTACTGAAACACTGCAGTTTCCCTTCAGGATCAATAAAGTTCTATCTATCTAAATTTGTGAAATATTGAGAAATTCTCGAATGAGTCACGTGAATAAGAAGCAAAATGAATGAATTTTTGGTGAAAAACAGAATTTTGTTAAATAAACCCATCAGCTCTCAGTTGAGACTGAACTCTCAGTCTTCGCTTTCAGTTTCTTCACTAATCCCTCCTCTGATGTGCAGAGCAGGACGTTCCTTTAGAAGCTTCCTGAGAATC